CTGGACACAGCCATTCCTGGTGGGTTTGCTGCTGCCTCAACACCCTGACCTTCTCCAGGCAGGTGAGTGTGGGGTCTCTTTCCAAAATCCTGCCCACTCTGTGTCTCAGCTCAAAGACCAGGATGGCAGAGTCTCCTAAAGGACAAACTGCTGGAAATATCCAGGTGGAAAGTTTGGCCATCAGAGATTTTTTGGGAAAGAGAATAAAAGCTTTCATGTGAGTCTAAGAGACCAGAACATGTGGAAGCTGAAACTGAGGTTTCCCAAGTACAGGATAGTCTGGTACAGAGCCTTGAAGCTGCAGGAGAGACCCAGAAGCTTCTTTGTTGGGGCAATGGGCAATTTTGTTAGGAAAGTGAGCAGATTCTTTTCCTTGAGCAGTATGGAGTTTTCCCATCATTTCAGGCTTTCAGAAATTCCACACATGGATTTCTGGGCACCAAGACACGTCCCTGCCCTCTGGCTGCTCCCTGGGTCAGTGCTGGGGAATGTCCTTGCTGGGAATCCTGGGAATACTCTGGGGTTGGGAATGGGCACTGCCAAGCTTGACAGGGAGGACTTTTGTGATCCCAGGGAAGCAGAGAGGATTGGTCAGGGTGTTTGGGGTGTGTGTTTGATACATGAAGCCCAAAGGAGAAACAGCCCTCTAGTTCCATACCTTTCAATGGCCATTTTATCTCTGCATTTCCCAAATTTCACTGGCCATTTCTTTTGGTTTCACCAACAACAGTGGGTCCCAGATCTGCAGTCTGTGCTCTGGGAAAAGGTTTCAGAAGACCTGTGAGGAAGGCAATTGAATCAGTGCAGGTTATTGATTTCCCAGAGACTGAGACAGTGGAATACTGTCAAGGTTTGAAGGCTGGCACAGACATACGAGTTGTTTTTAGAGAAAGGTAAAGGGAAGATGATCAGATGTGGTTGGATGCAGCCCCTCTGCCCTCACTGAGCCACAGAGCCCTGCAACACTGGCTCCTGCCCTGCCTGGGCTCCTGCATGTCCCCATTGCCTTGGTGTCCCCTCTGCAGCTCTGTGAAGACCCAGGAGAGGCAGCAGCCATGAAGATCCTGTTCCTGCTCTTCCCCCTGATCCTCCTGTTGGCCCAGGGTGCTGCAGGTGAGAGGGAAGAGGGGAAATGGGAGAAAGTGTGAGCACCCAGCAGTGGGAATTCAAAGTCCTGGTAAATGACCCTGCTTGTGGGGGTGATAAGGAAGTAACAGAGGACCCAGGTCAAAGGGGTTTCTCCAGTGACTTTCCACCTCAGCAATGATTTGCAGTGGAAAGAGCCCATGGAGACAGAATCTTGGCTTGTTCTGTAGGTCAGGAATGCTTTTACTTCCAGACTCCAAGCCTGTGCCCTGCTCTTCCTGTTTAGGAGCCTTTTGTGATGCACAGGGATGGCAGAGAGTCCCAGGGGTGTTCGGATGGTGGTGTTTGCTGGAGCACAATGGCGTCTCTTTCTTATCCATCAGCTTATTATTAATAATATCCAATATCATTATTATTGATGTAACTGTTTTGTGGGTGCTTTTGTCCATGCAAACAGGAAGTTCATCTGCATGCAGGCGCAGAGGGGGATTCTGCACCTTTGGGGGTTGCCGCTACCCCACAACACCCGTTGGAAGATGTTCAGCAGTCAGTGTGTGCTGCAAAAGGTAAGGAGCAGATCCCTGCCTAAAGAGTTTCCTCCTTTTTCCCCAGAGGGATCTGTAACTAATTTTTTCTAGCCAACACTTGACTAAATCTCTCCTGCTTTTATAATTAGTCTAAGAGCCCCAAAAGACATGAGAAAAGCCCTTGTGGGTTTTGGAGCTGCCCTGAGTGGGGCTGCAGGAGCCCCAGGAGAGACAGAGCCTCCCCACTCAACAAAGCCACTAAAGAGAAAAACCTTCACAGCCCTTGTCCTTGGGCAGCACTCAGGACATGATCCAGGTCCTGCTGCACCTGCACAGAGCTGGAGCCAGGGCTGCCAGCACTGAGATAGCCCAGGTCCAACCTGTCTGCACCAGGGACTGCACCTCACCTGCCCTGAGCCTGAGTCTGCTGCACCACACCCTGGGCATTGCAGGGCAGGGGGAGAGAGGGATGGGGAAAGTTACACCACATGATGTGCTTGTTTCTTTTCTTCCCACAGTATCTGGGGTTAAAACCCTGAAATTCCTGAGAAGAACATCCCATTCACTGCTGGCTTCCTGATGTCCCCTCCCGTCCCTGCCTGTGCCGTGCCCAGCTGGGGTGACAGCAGCAGTGGCAGCTGCTCCTGCTGGGTGCTGCTGGGCTGGAGCCCTGTGGTGCCAGCCCCGCTGTCTTTGGGGCAGGGGCTGCTTTTCCCAGCTTGAATAAAGACGAGCACTTTGGCATTGCAGGCCTGGGCCGTGTGTGTGTGTCCTGCTGCTGGAGGGCTGCTGTGCCTGCAGCCTCTGGGGTTGGCACTGGCCTGGTGGCAGCAGAAGGGCCTGGGGATGGTGCTGGGGCTGAGCAGAGGCTGTGTCCCTGGGGATGCTCCTGCCTGGCCCTGGTTTGGGGACGCTGAGCCTGGCAGTGCCTGCTGGGCCAGGCTGGCTGGGGTGCCTGTGCTGGAGCTGCCCTGCAGATGCTCCCTCTGGGTAACTGGGCCCCTTGTCCTGGTCCTGCTGTTTCTGGATGTCCCTTGTCCCCAACAGCCACAGTTTTGTGTGCATGGCCATGCTGGGGGCTGTCTCTGCCGAGCATGGCCATGCTTCCACCCCACCTATCCCAGATGTCCCAGATTCCCACCACACTGAGGACTGGGATCTCCTTTTTCCCCATCTGCCCTGGGGCTGAGGTCTGCTGTGCAGTCCCTACTCAATTCCCTGCCTTCTTCCAGGCCCACAGCATCAACTCCTCTTTCAGCACACAGCCTCTGTCCTTTCCACTTCCCTTCTGGAGGATCCTGCAGACAGCCCCCAGAACACCTTAGCATGTCTTCAAGGGAAATAGATCACCCAGGCTGGCTGTACAGCTTCTCCAGAAGATGATCTTTCCAAAGGGTGCCTTTGGGCTACAACCTGAAAATGCCAATAAAAATCACCCAGCAGGGCAAAAGCCAGGTGTCTTCTCTGTCAGCTCAGACAAATTGATGTTACCACATACTTCACTTCCAACACCCAGTGGTGTCAGCATTCCTGTGAGTGCAGACCCAACCCTGCAGAGTCAATTCATGTGTGCTGGGGCTGGCCCTGCTCCCTCCCTGCTGCAGGGGCAGGGGCTGAGGTGCCTCGTGGGGCTGTTGCAATCAATGTCACCGTTGTCCCCATGCAACACCTCTTGTGACACCCACGGCACAGCAGCAACGGGCTGTGGGGCCAGCTGGGAAACCCTTGGGATGGGCACAGGAACTGGGGTTGCAGACATCAGCACCAGCCCAGTTCTGGTGAGAACTCCTTGCTGGGCAGGAGGGGTCTCTGCCACGTTCCCAAGTTAGCAGCTCCCTCTCCTGGCATTTGGCAGAGCAATCTGGTTGCCCCCAAACTGCAGAGCCTGAGTTTCTGAGGATTTGGCAGTGGAACCTGGTGTCTCAACATTTTTTCCTGGACAACCCTGAAATGTGAAGTCACAGTGGCAAAGTGACAATTACAAAAAATATGGGAAATGGATTCTGCATCCTCAGCAGAAATAAAGGGCCCAACTGCCCAGATTACTGATGGTTTACTGGGAAGGTTTTTTGAAGTGAAGTGGGAAAGGTTGCGTTCTGTGCCAGATCAGCAGGTTGGTGATGGTTTCCAGTGAGAAGGGTCTGTGTCTGTGTCCCTGGATGTGTCCAACAAACCACAGCACCACATGGAGTTTTTACACAAGGCAGGATGACTCCAGACCTTGGATTGGGAATCCTTCTCAGAGGTGTCAGAAGAGGAAGCTAAAACTTCCTTTTCTCTGGAGCATAGGGGAAACAGGGAAGGGAAATTTTGGGGTGGACATTGTGAACACTCAAGTGACTCCAGCCTGTGCTGCGTGCTCTCCTCTTGTATATGTTCCAGGGAGCAGCAGGTACAACACTAATGAATTAACTAGATAAAAAAATAGAGGGTTTAAGTCATGCTACAGTAAAACTGTGCTATGGATGTTGAATTTTCCTGTAAACAGAATGAAGATGAAAGAAGAAAGAACCCAAACCTTTCAGTATTATTTTGCCTCTACTGAGATGATGAGTCACATGAGATTTTTCTTGGTGGCTGTGCTACTGAAGCATTCCTCACTGCCCCATTCCTTTAAGGAATGGCTTCTGCTGCAGGATTTGCAGCTGGGACTGGAGCTTGTAACAAAGCTCAGTTTATTTTAGGGATGAGGTTTTGTCCCTATCACCACAGTTCCTATTGCATATCTTTCTGAGTCCACAGCACTGTGCACAGCAGTGGAGAGGAGGAGGAGAAGGGCGGAAGGGAAATCCTGCTTCACCATCAGAATCCTGCCTTGTGCTGGGATAGAGACATCAGATATGTTGGGGAGTCTCTGCCGAAGGCTGCTGAGGGGAGACCCTGAGTGTGTCCCAATCAAATGCCATAAAAATCACCAGAAAACTTCCCCTTGATGTTGGAGAGAGGGGACAATTGGCAGTCCAGGGACATGAGGACAGCCGTAGGCTGGGTCTGCTGCCCTGCCCAGCCCAGAGCTGCTGCTGGAGATGCAGGGACACTCCAGCATCTCCCAGAGCTCTGCAGAGCCCAGGTGGCCTCGGCACAGAGGGCAAGGTCCTGCCTGGGCTCCGGCCAGTCTCGAGTGTGCCCAGCCAACAACCAGATAGAGAGGGGGCTCCCCAGGTGTGCACAATGAACACACAAACCAGATGTGTAGCTTGAGATTCCCAACTGGAGCCATGTCCTGCTCCATTTGGGCATATGAGACATCCCTGCAGAGAACTCAGTGAGCTCTTTTCCCACCCAGCAGCCAGACAGTGCCTCCCTTGGGCTCATCCTCACCTGTGCTGAGCACCCCCCAAAAGCAAGGACCATCACCCACCTCAAAGGAAGTGACAGCGAAGTAGGGCACTGAGAAAAGAAAGAAGTCTGGGCCTATAAAAAGAAGGATCAGGTTTCTGCTTCACAGTAGGGAGCATCTGCAGGGCAGCTCCAGCACAGGCACCCCAGCCAGCCTGGCCCAGCAGGCACTGCCAGGCTCAGCGTCCCCAAACCAGGGCCAGGCAGGAGCATCCCCAGGGACACAGCCACTGCTCAGCCCCAGCACCATCCCCAGGCCCTTCTGCTGCCACCAGGCCAGTGCCACCCCCAGAGGCAGCAGGCACAGCAGCCCTCCAGCAGCAGGACACACACACACGGCCCAGGCCTGCAATGCCAAAGTGCTCGTCTTTATTCAAGCTGGGAAAAGCAGCCCCTGCCCCAAAGACAGCGGGGCTGGCACCACAGGGCTCCAGCCCAGCAGCAGCCAGCAGGAGCAGCTGCCACTGCTGCTGTCACCCCAGCTGGGCACGGCACAGGCAGGGACGGGAGGGGACATCAGGAGATGGGTCCAGCAGCCAGAAGTGAGGGGATGTCCTGCTTGGGAATTTCAGGGTCTCAACCCCAAACACTGTAAGAAGATAGGAAACAAGCACATCACCTATTGTAACTTTTCTTTCCCCTCTTTCTCCCTCTTCCCCTGCAACAAAAACAATCAGAGGAAGATAATACCCGACCTACAGAGGCCATCTCCAGCTGTCACAGATATCAGGAGAGAGGATCCTGTGCCTCACACTATTCCAGGGACAGCCTTCTCATTTGTGCAACAGAGCTGCGGTCTCTGCACTGACAGTGAGAAAACCTTGTGGGGCTAAAGGAGTGTAGGGCAGAACTGCTTGACCTGGGGCATCTTCAGCACTACTCAGAGCAGGTCCAAATCCAAAAGGACTTTCCCTTCCTTTCCCTGGCTTTTGCCTCTGAGTATGAATGCGTGAATGTGTGAAGTAGGAACTGGCTTGAAAGACAATAATAACTTTATCCATGACCAACTTACGGTTTGCAGCAGTGACTCAGTGCTGAACAAACTCCCACGAATTTATAGGGGAAACGACAGCCCCCCACAGCACAGAATCC